CCGAGCATTTTAATATGCATAAATAAAAATTTAATGAAAAAAATAATTTTTACTTCATGCACTTTTTTATATATTGCATTAAAATCACTGCATAATAATTGCAATTTTATGTTCTTCTGTATATAAAATTGTGAAATTGTAAAATGTAAATATCTTGTATTTTTTATGCATTTTGGCAGTAAATGAAAAGACAGTAGCGTAGACAAAAAGCATATATTATATATTCTTGATAACTTTTATAAAAGTTTAGTAATTAATTTTTTACATATATATATTCACATTTTATATATTCATATATTTTATATATATTATATTATGTTGAAGCTGTTTTGAGCTATAGCACTTAAGCACTTATACTCTTTTTTAACTCGAGGTTTCTTCAAAACCCCTTTCTACACCTTGACTAGATTATTTTTTATCACTTCATCAGACTGAGCAATAATTGACCTCAGATCTGCATACCTCTGCGAGGAGCCTGTAACCATTTTGAGATTTGATAACGCGGTGTTGGTAAGTCTGTCAGTTTTCGTAAATAATTTCAGGGCTCTATATTTTATGTATTTTTTGATGGGATCAATCTTGATGTTCCTGAGGTGTCATTCAACCTAATGTACCATGGAACTTTGAACAGCCTTCTCAGAGCCTGGCTTTGTGCAATTTCTAGCTGGTGAATAGTAGTGTTAGAAGCGTTGCTAAACGCTACATAACCATATAGAAATTACGGACGAATTATTTTGTTATATATCAGTGTATATCCTGTTCTTAGCATTAAGATATTCATTTCTGATTAGCGGAACTATTCAAATTGATTTAATTTTTAAATTTTTTATTTTGAATAATTTTTGAAAAAATATTATTAAAAATTTTTAATATAATATATTAATATTATATGAAACTCCTTACAATAATAAAAACTTAAGCGTACGCCTCTGTAAATTTGATTTTATTGTATTGCAATTGTATACACCGCCAGCTACAGATACTGACTGAAGCGAAAAATTATTGTAATAATTTAATCCCGCACTTTTGTCACATAAAAATGGACTTTAATGCTTTTATGACTTTCTGTTAATGTTGTCAAGCTCAAGCTCCCCGGTACGGCCATATATGCGTACAACTCCTGGATGAACCAGCAGGCGCTACTGAAATCGAACTCAGGTATGAAAAATTACTCGTACAATAACATAGTAACATTTTGGAAGTACGGATATCATACGTACGCTTATGGCTTACCGTGTGATGTGGTGCGTTCGTGTAATTTGAAGGTATCATTTCGCAAGGAGAGAAATATTCATTTATTATGTAGAATGATATAAACGAGTGTCATATGACACTGCACTTACACGCGAGCGACTATTATGTGATAATTGAATTTCGCTTTAAAATTTGCAATGAAATTGCGCAGAAAGGAATTAATAGTCTTATCGATGGCAACACGTTGGGCGCCATAAAATGTTTAATGTAATAATTTTGTAGATTTCCAACAAAATAGTTATAATGATACTTTTGCATTATATACGATTATGTGAATTTTAATAATTGTATATAACTTATGAGTTTAATTTTTGAATTAAATTCAGAGTCGCAACAACGAAAAACAGCTCAGCACGTTCAAATATCAACTGACGTGTGACTATTGAGTACACTATTTCATAGGAAAAAACTTTCTAATATTTTTTTTTATTTTTTCATTCCCTTTTAAAACAAAAGTGTGCAAAAAGGATATGACAATAAATCATAAATTTCACACAAAAACAAAAAAAACTATCTTAGATACATACGGATCTGAGATACTTTTAGGTCAGCGGCATTGACAGTTGCTACTTCTATTGTGTAGCGTGCACTGCAGCTGTATACTTTTTAATTTAGTGCAATCACAACAGGTCAAATATTAGCAAAACCGCAAAATTATGCAAAAATATGAAACATGGAATTTTTAAAAAATATCTTCTTTTTTGTTCTTTTGGACTTTTCCAAAATTATGCAACAGGTCCTTTTGCTATAAATCAAAAATAGGAAGTAGCGTAACGAATTGCGTAAAATACGCATTTCAACTAAGATAAGGTGAAAGTTGAAGAATTTGCAAAATATTCCCTATCTACAGTGCGAATTTTTCGAGTTTCTCTGTTTTGTTCGCATAAAAAATAGAACAATCTATTGTTTTAAAGATTGCAAGCAGTCGCCTGCGTATAGACTGAGCCTGCGCTGACATAGTGCGACATGGGATACTTTTAACAGCGAGTGATGTATCTTCAATAAAATATGAAAAGCATAGAATCTAAATATTTTGGTTACTGAAATTTCACGCTGACTACTGAATGCACTGATTTATTGCAGTACAATTTTGTACTGCAAAGTGAAATTCACTACAACCATAAATTTGACTTTAAAATGTTGTTTAGATTATCAAATTGTTTAGATATATTGTTTAATTTCAAGATAGACTTAAGTAGGAAATATGGTGAATTCCATGTTTTTATTGTATTATCACATCCATTCATTCTAAGATATACTATATAAATTCGAGATACGGGTAAGAAATAAATCAAATACTAGGTTTTTTATTATATCATCATATCCATTCATTTTAAGACACATTATTTGAGTTTAAGAGATAAGTAAGAAATATGTCAAAGTTTAGGTTTGAGATAACCTTGGTATAGTGTTGGTAATACGAACTTTCACTTTTATTATTAGGCAATTAAAAATAATGATTCACACAAAGTTTTGATCATTTTAGTGACGAAGCACTTCTCATAAGATATTGATGACTTCATTTCCATAAAAAGGCAACTTATTTCTAATTAATATATAATTTTTGCTCATTTTTCTGACAAGATAAAGCATTGATAGAGCGAAATTGTACTGTTATTAGAAGTCAACTCACTTCATTCGTTTGACAAAAGCATTTCTCATACGATATTGGTCATATGAAGCCCCATTTATAATATCTACACAAATTTTTAGATTATATCTATAAGCTTTAAGACTTTTTAACATTTTTTAGATAATTTTTTAGATCAGTTTTTGGATCATTTTTTGGATCTTTTTTTGAATCATTTTTTGAATCATTTTTTGGATCTCTTTTTGGATCATTTCTTGGATAATTTTTTTGGATAATTTTAAGATAATTTTCCGAATTATTTTTTAAATCATTTTTTGAATCATACATCATAATAATTATTGGTTCCGCAATCGATATAGAATGGTGGTCGCCTGTTAAAATTTTATTTGTAATTTTTTTTTCAAAAAAACTAAAAAAATAAAGTGCGACAAATAAATTTTACAGCAATTAATTTTTAATTTCATCTGTTTTGACTGTTTTATGACAGAAAAGAGAACTCATTTAAATAACAATATTTTGCATAAATTAAATTAGTTGAGTGCATAAAATTCTTGTGGGCAGTTTTCTTAAGTAAACGTTAATTAAAGCAGAAAATCGTCTTTGTAAACATCGGTGCATTGCATTTTGTTGTTGCTGTTGTTGTTGTTGCTGGTGTTGCTATTCACCAAACAAAATAATTGCAATCATGTAACAACTTTTAAGTGCCTTCGGCAAATCAACTTGTTAATTTATCAGCATTTCCCATTCCTTCTTCTTCTTCTTCAACTTTTTAATAAAACTAAACTCGTTTAAGGTTGACATTTTTTATCATATCCACACCAAATATTTAGCAGCCATTTTGAAGTCCATATATGAACATTATTTGGTTTACCAAATGCCTTCTTCTTGCTTGCTTATATAGGTATTTTTGTGTATAGACAGTCTCTAAAATTGGTCAGGACCAGCAGCAGCTCAGAAGCAGCTCAGCAGCAGCTCAAGTGGAATTATTTATAATAAAAACAGTCGCATACAATTCATGCTGCATGTTGTAACAACAAAAAGCAATTTAAAAGTAAAATAAAAATATTGATAAAAAGAGAATAACTTCAACTGCGGAGCTTATACATCAAACGTAAGTATGAACCTACCGCCATGCCTTAAACTTTAGAATTTTTACGAGTTTATGCAAGTGCACACATTTAGATATATATACGTAATATATGTTAAGAACATATGTTGCTATATATATATGTATATATACAAAATGAAAAGGATATAGAAAATGTTGCGAAAAAAATGGTATACAACATGAAACACATCATTAAGTATAAAATTCTTAAAATGGAATTTTAAATCATTAAATGTGCTTCGAAAAAATATCTACAACAAAAAAAAAGAGATAAACTTTTAACGCGAACAACAAAAACAACAACAGTGGCACCGGCAATATCAGCAACACATGGATGTTGATACCAACCGATGCTGATGCTGAAGCTGATGATGATGACGACGGCAACGACAACGACAACAACGAAGCAGTTAAAGAAGAAGAATTTGCTTTGGGTTTCTTTATTTGGAAGATGCTGCATATCGCATATTGCATACTGCATACTGCAAACGGCATGCAGCATTAAGCATCGAGCCATTCCTAACAACAGTGAGCGGCATATGAACTGCTTCAGCGTCGTTGAGGAAGAAGTGCATCAACTAAAAATACGCATGCAGCAGCTTGAATAGCTTGAATGGATTCCTTAGCCAGTTGTGGTATTAAAAAATTACATTAAAATACAATAACAAAAATGTAACGCAACAACAGTAACACCAACAACAACAACTCTAACAACATCAACAGCACTAACAACATTAGCAACATAAGCTAAATTACAGCAACACTGGCGGTTGAACTGTTGCAGGTTCGCATTTCTATTAATTTTTTCCAAATGTTTTTTTCCTCTTTTGTTTTTTTTTTTTTTTGATTATTTTAAACTATTTATTTTGGTTAACACGTTACGTTGCGTTACGTTACGTTACATTGTTGCATTCAGCATGTCGCGCTGCATA